TTTGGCCAATTTAAAAAATTATTTCACTTTGTAAAAATATTCATAAGTTTACTTAGATTTGAGGCCAGCATCTTTCCAGAATTAGCACATGAAAACATTCACATTTCTTCCTATTTGAGTGTTTGGGCCTCATTTCCATCTGAATATTTTAAGCCTAAGCCCCTCCACCAGGAGTTTTCCCACCCTTGACCTGCAATCTGGGAAGAAAACAAAACAAAACCACTGACTGCTAAACATGTAACCTCAACACTCTGGAGGAGGGGGCAAGAGGGTTGGAAACTCAAAGTCAGCCTGGGCTAAGACTCTATATCAAAACAAACAAAAAGAACTAGCAAAAGTAGAGGAGGAACAGGAAGAGGAGGGAGAGGAGGAGGAGGAAATGATCACAAGGTGAGGTTCTGTTGGTGTGGCCCAGCGGTGCTGGGGAGGGCCATACAGAATTGTGTGGGAATTAGCAGCAGTCAACAGGAATATTCTGTGGAGGGGAAGGTGGGGAGGGGTGGAGGAAAATGTGGAGGGAACAGTGGAGGGGTGGAGCTCATCAACAGATTGTGAACTTCTTCTGACCCCCAAACTGGGGAAGAGAACACTGCAAACACTTTCAGCAGTGATGTGAACTGGGGTCCTTGTCCATTGGCTCTCTTTCTTCCATGAAACCTTGAACCTTGAGCAGAGGTAGGTTAGGTTGATCTCACTCATATGGGCCTGTGAATTGAGTGCCTCTGTTGTCTTTTGCTACCTCTCCTGAGGCATGAGAATGAGGGAGTCTGATGTCCAGAACTTTCTTCCATGTCCCCACTTTTCCTACCTCAAGCCCCACACTACTTGTTCTCGTGTGAGCTTTGCACTGCTACGTTCCTGTTCTTTTCTTATTTCCCCAGGCCATGCAGGATGCGTTGGCAGACCTCCCAGAGTGGTATGGAATAAAAGGCATGCAGGCCCACTGGATTGGAGACTGTGTAGGCTGCCACCTGGACTTCACATTAAAGGTAATAACACACTGGCACCCCCCAGCATTCTTGCCCACAGATCTCTCTTGCATTTTGGAGCTCTTTGAATGCACAGCAGCTCTGCACCTAACTGCAGCACTGCCCAGCAAAAAGAGAACCAGGAGGGCATCTTTCTGAGCAAGCTTTCTCTACTTTATCTTGCGATGCCTGATGTTGAGTGCAGAAGGGGAACTAACCAAGGAGCCCCCCTTCTGTTCTTCTGCCTGGCCCCTCTTATACATTCCTGGTCCTGTGGTCAGAAGCTGCCCTGGCTGTTTGGAAATGAGGGAAGGGGTGGAATGAGGAGCCACATAGCTCAGGAGGAGGACTGAAAATGAAATGTCATATTTTATCCTGCCAGGTTGATGGACAAGACACAGGAGAGAAACTGACGGCATACACAGCCACCCCTGAGGCCATTTATGGCATTTCTCATGTGGCCATTTCTCCTAACCACAGGCTTCTACATGGCTGCAGTTCTCTGAAGAAAGCCTTGCAGAAGGCAGTAGTCTCTGGCAGAGGTGAGCTAAGTGGTGAGCACAGGCTTATGGAGTTACATCCTTCATCTGGGTAGCAGTTCCCAAGACCCATACACTTCCCACATGTCTGCCATTTTTCATCCTCTGTTCTTCATCTTAGCTGTAATTTTTACTTTTTTATCTCAAAACCTGAGGCTAAAACAACTCGAGCAACATTAAGTTGTCTGTCCTGAGTTTCCCCAAGTCTCAGCCTTTCTGCATCTAGAATTTTCCCAGAAGCTCAGTTCTTTACCTTTTGATTCAGTATTAGTTTAAATCTGTCTTCTGATAGAGAATCATCTCTCGAATTTTTAATTCCTCCAGCAAATAAAACTTTACTGAAAAAGGGCTGGAGAGATGGCTCAGTGGATAAAGGTACTTAATAACATCATCAAGCCTGAAGACCTCAGTTCAGTCCTCATGACCCACATGGTAGAAGGAGAGGGCAGACTCCTGTAAGTCCTTTGACCTACACACACAGACAGACACACACAGACACACACACAGACAGACACACAGACACACACACACACACACACACAGACACACAGACACACACACTGACGCACACACAGACAGACACACAGACACACACAGATACAGACAGACAGACAGACACACACACACACATACACGCACACACGCACATGCACATATTGTGGCACACGCTCCCACTCTTCACCTCCCATAAATAAATAAATGCACTAAAATTTTAAAACATGAGGATAAAAATTAGCAACATTCAGTTGCCTGTTCTGGATTTCCCTGAGTGATTGCTGTCACTGGGACTTCTGGCCTTTTCTTTGGCAAAGAGAAGACCACATACCTTTGATTAGACACAAAACTGCAGCCAGCCAGAGGGGATGTGGGTGAAAGGACACCCTTGTTGGTTAGAAGTAGGTCTCTGGAGAAGGATTAAATGTCTCTGCAGAAATCTCATCTTTATGATTTCTTGTACACCATGAACTTTAACCTGTAGCTCACATCTGAATTATTGGGTTGTCAAACTGTTTAGGATGATGTAAACTGGAGAGACAAGGTCATGACAATTCACTTCTGCTTAAGACAGTGGTTGTTTCCTAAGTGCAATGAGAACAACTCTAGTCACCCGCCCTGCCTAGGAGCCTGCTATGGGCCCCCGTCTCCTGGGTCAGAGACAGGTTTTTACAATCCTGACTATAGGTTCCTCTGGGCTTAGGACAGAAGACACCCAACACAAGGCAG